GAGAGAGAGAGAGAGAGAGAGAGAGAGAGAGAGAGAGAGAGAGAGAGAGGGTGCATTTAAGCATATCATGCTATGCCCTAGTTTTATGTGCACCATCGAACTATGAAAGGAATGATTTGGCACACCCAGGAAAGGTAGATTGTAGGGTAACTTATGCTGAATAATGTTGAAGGGGGAGTTGGACAAAGAATGAGAAAAATGAATGGTTTCAGTGTGCCCTTAATGTTTGTCTTGTTTTTCTATTTTTATCGTTTGTCTTGCAAAGAGCGCTCTTTCTGTTCATGGATATGTGACAATATATATGGAAAGAACTTGCCAGTACGATATACCCATACATACACATATTGATATCTACATTATGTTCATATGAGTAAATTGCTGCCGGTCATGTGCACAAGTAATCAGCACTGGGTTCCAAAAGTGTGGACTTGTTGTTGTTTGGGTGAGTTGGCCAAGGGCACCACCGGTCGTGGAGGGCACGCAGGTGGGTGCAAGGTGTGGTTAAGTTGGCTAGACAGCTGGAGACACAACATTCTCAGCAGTTCTGTGGTCGAGTTTGCAATAGTCAAAAGATGGGTGACATCGATTGGAAGACGAGCATTCTAAATGGCAAAGGTCTGGGGGAGCCGAGATTGGGAACTCCAAAGATCAAATCCAGGGGATGTCACCTATGGATTTATCTCACGGCTGTTGCAGCGTCCAAGGAGAGAGAGAGGGAGAAAGGAGGAGGGGAGAGGGAGGTAGAGAAGAGGAGGGCGGGAGGGAGGAAGGGAGGGATGCGCAAGCATGAGTAAAATACATTCCTTCTGTCTGTGACACATGGATTGGGCTGAACTAGGCTGAATGCAGCTTGACCTGAACATCATCGTTTCCTGTCCTTGGACATCGAACTGGAATAACCCACGTCAATCAATGCCTTTATACGGTTTACACCTTAGTAATGTAAGTTCAAACGCCCCAGTTGCAGGCCAGTGTATCATGATGACTTAGGTATCATGATAACTTAGGTATTGGGTCTTTTGATTATTACCTGTCAACTATGTTCTCAGAGATGAGAGGGTTTGTGAACTTTGAAGGTATGAAATGTGCGATGGAAAGTCACCTCCAAGGCTTCCCCTTGCTGTGAGTCAGAGGCAGCTCTGTGTATCTGACATGACATTCCACTTTTCCCAATTTTTTGGACCGGAACACAAAGGTAACGGCATTGAGAGACGTGAAAGCAAGCGGCAACTGGATGTATGCAGCCAAGATGGATGGTGAAGGAGCGGCCATGTATGATGCTGCGGTTGCTCTTCGTGATGCAATGATTGAACTTGAAGTTGCGATTGATGGAGGCAAAGACAGCCTTTCGATGGCAGCACAGGTCAGTGTGTGTCAAATATGTTACTGCAAAAGTCCACTGAATGTGTGGCAGTGATTTTTGGCCTGGCTTATTTTCAGTTTACAGCTTTACATGTCCTCCTTCAAGAACAGCTTGGGAAAATTTCATGCTTCATGGCTACGGAGTACGGATTTAATTTCCTCTCTTCTTTTTTTTAACGGATTTGTCACCGCAGTGCGCTGCAAGAGGAGATTATGAAATGAAAATACATATCATAGGACGTGTACGTTGTTACCTGGATGGCGCGGGCTGTCCACGTCCTGGGCACCCCAGCCCAAAATCATGTTTTTTCCTTTTTCAATCAATGAAAGAAATTTTTAAAATCTGGAAGAAAAATGTGTTGTGACAGTTGTGTACAAACGACTTTTGGCTGAGGGTCACTTATAGGATTCAAGATCAAGCTCCAAAGACAAAAAGTCAGGTAAAGGAACACGCCCCTTGGTCCTTTTTGAACCCCTTTCAACCCAGTTCACACACCAAGCCCCCCCTAGGTGAGTCGTGACCGTATTCCAAGATGAGGCTGAATTCTGCCAAGTGCAGGTCTGAGAAAAGTAGAATGGTCTGGCCTGACCTGGAGAACTAGGCAGGTGTGGTCTGTCCTACCCATGCTGCCTGGCCACGGGATGTGACCCAGGTGACACAGTATGTAATGTGATTATTATGGAAGTATTGCATCCTTCCCGTCGTCCGTTTTCGTCACTCTTCGACTTCCTCTCTTTGTTCTCACATTGGCATGCTGCCATCCATGGTGACCTTTTTCGTGAGGAGACGCTGCTGATTATGTGTTCTTCCTTTCACTTGCGGCTTTCCCACTTGAGTGCTATAGTGCATGTTGCCTTTTGTCAGCACCCCACTGCTTCGCCGCCGACTCCCCCAGGGCGGAGAAGCTGCCCTGCTATTTCGCATGACTCTTCCCCAAGTAGATCGCTGTCACCATTAGGTTTGTCTGCCCGTTCCCTGCAGTAAGACGAGGTGCGGCATACTCGTGAAAAATGTCTTGAGGCTGGCAGTTGGAAGATGAAGAGGAGAGAGAGAATAGCGGGGAGATTGGACCTTTCGTCCTCTATCCCTGGTGTACGAGGTCGAAAACATTTCTGAATCCAAAGTAGCTCTAGTTTATGGACAGATGAATGAGCCGCCAGGCGCTCGCATGAGAGTTGGACTTACTGCTTTTACGAACTCCTGTGCTCAACACTCCTACTGCTACAGTGAAGGTGTCTGCTTGCTTGTAATTCCCAAGTTTCCGGTTGAATCTGACAGAGACAATTACGACTATGTAGATTATGCACTGGTCAGATTTCAAAAGTTTCAAACGTTTTTGTTTATTGACCAAGGCAACGAAGGTGAAATCAACTTTCAGAAAATTTGTGCTGCAGATTTGTTGGACAGGTGCCAGCTGGCATCCCGCATTGTAGTGCTTGATGCTATAGGTGCATAGCAGCTTCCTGACCTAACACGCAAAGATCCGCAACCAGACAATCGTAGGACCATTTCTACAGCGATTATTGTGTGAAGCTAAGTTTAGTGCCTGAAGTTGTGCTTCCCAAGCTTCCTCATTCCTCACACTCTTGGATTCAAAAGTGTGAGGGGGGGATCTGAAACCGCATCATTATTTGTTTAGGGACGCTGGACCCACTTTCCACCAGGTGCTGCTCCCCACCACTAGATGGAGCCTCCCAGGGAGTGCTAGCGGTGCCTGCTCATATCAGCACCTCTAGCATCAACCCAGGCTGTTCTTAAATAATAATAATAATCTATCTATCTATACTCTTTATAAAGGGAAGAGCGGGTCTTGCGTGACGCTGCTGCAAACCGGACCTCTCTGTGTTGGGAAAGTGGGGGGGGACAAGGCACGGGCCCAAGGGGAACTTGCAGAAATTGCAGCCTTTTTTTTTTGTGGTCCGCGCGAGCTCAAAGGGTGCGGCGGTGTGGCAGATTTGTGGACTGAATCTAGAAGTGTGGCAGTGTATGTTTCCATGTTCTAGCAGAAGATTCATTTGATTTTGCTTATCCTGTCCACGGAAGTAGCTTGAGGCCGTGCGAGTTCGAAGGGCGGTGCGGTGTGGGAGATTTGTGGACTGAGTCTAGAAGTGTGGCAGTGTATATTTCCATGTTCTAGCGGAAGATTCATTCGACTTTGCTCATCCTATTGATCGAAGTACCATGAGGCCAGCCGCGAGGTTGAAGACTTTCTCTCTCTCTCTCTCTCTCTCTCTCTCTCTCTCTCTCTCTCTCTGTTACATCTTCGAGTCACACGGGTCCTACCGGACCCGACTTAGGGCCGGAGGGACACACCAGGGCCTAAAGGCCCGACCTTTGAGGGTCACAGGCCCTAAAGGCCTGATTTTGCACTCAGCCCAGCGGGTAGGCCCAAACGACAC